TGACTGACATCAGCTTGCTATAATTTCTGTTTACATTACATCGCAATTCGATGACACTCTGGCTCAGACACCAGAATGTTTTGATTCTATGATTTTTAGCGTTCGTTTGGGATTTTCAAACAACCTGGTCTCTTTTAAAATACTTTTAATTTGTTCTTACGTGGTTTTCCAGATGTAGTGATGACAACATTAAAGTTTAAAGAAGAAAATTCTAACATTTAAACCGACTAAACAATAACATAGTAAACTTGCATAATTAAACAGCAACTAAAAATGATAGGTTTACTAAATCTTTTCCTGTGCAATTATTACTAGCATTGGAGACAAGGATAATAGTTTGTTTGAAAGAGAAAAGAACAGGCTTTGAAGTAAGCCTAAATGCGTTTAACTAGAAATAGTATTTCGAAAGTTATTAAGCACAAAAGATGAATTGCGTTTATTTTGATACACCCTGTAGACGTGTAAAGGTTCTACATGATCATGTCACAGAAAGGTACATGACTCGGCTACAAACCGTATTTTACAATATTACAATACTTCTGCAGCCTGCAGATATCACGTTATCATAGTCTATGAAAATATGATGGTCTGGAAACTAAACAGAAGTCATTGTGTTATGTTTTTGTCTGGGTTTATGTTAATTTCTGTACGGTCACGGTAATTAAGCTCATTGTATTTTCATATAATGAAGTAATCGGGCAATAGGGATATAGCTGTGAGTGAAACGTGCAACCACGATGAATAATATTTAATGAAGTTGAGAAAAAAAAGTGTTCACGGTGTGGTACAGTTCAACATCAAACACAGGTCTTCTATTTTGTAACTTTGAAGTTTGTAACTTTGAAGTTTGTAACTTTGAAGCTTTCCATCATATGTTAACAGACTATGACGTACTGTATGTATTAATGACACGCAACGATAATAAAACTAATTAAAGTATCAGACTGATTGCAAAACTGACTGTAGAATTTGTTAGTAATAAATTAAAATAATTACCAGCAATTAATCATTGTATTCGCCATTCCTCCTAACGCATGCAGTAAACCAGGGCCAGACACAACAAGACAAACTGCTGGTCTGAAACAATAAAACATCAGCCGTTTAATACTTGATAGTAAATGATTATAGATAATATATAGTGTTGTAAATAATCAAAGAATTTGTTTGGATAATTTAACCGTACCTTTTTGTTAAATATCCAATAGCAGATGCCGCATAACATGCCTGGAAGGAAGAACAAGTTGAACAACACACGTATTTGAAATACTATAGTCTGGTCAAAAAGCTGGAAGTTATGGCATTCGTAACATGCATGGTCTTCAAAACAAGTAGTTACAGTTGACAACCAATACTTTTTAAAAAGTGCTGACAGCCTAAACGTTTTTATATTTGATATGTCGTATATATAATATAAATACACAATCGTATATTTAGTTATTTTCAAAAACTCAATAATTCATGAGGAAAACACAAAGAAAAATCATAACTATAAGCGTGTCGTATCTTTATAATAATATATTTAATCCCAAAATTTAACTTGGTTTATCTCGATTACACAACAAAAAATCTACCATATACATTATTTAAAAAAAATAAAATTTTTTTATCATGCAGATTTAAGCTTTCAAAAACTGCTAAAACGTCGTAACAGTATTTGGCAACCAAGTTCATAATTGTCTTATCTTGAATAGCCATAATATATCTAAAAATATCTTGTTGAGTGAACAAACAGAAAGAACGATTTATTTTACATAAATTATTTATAAAAATATTTCTAAGACTAATAAATTTAGAATTTCTGCATGACATTAGAAAGTGGTATTCATTTCCAATCTCATTTATGTCACAATGTTTACATAGCCTATCATTGTATGGAACATTGTTATATCGACCAGTTTCAACAGGTAATCTATGTGCTGAGATCCTTAGTTTTGTAACAGCTTGACGGTATTTGAAATTCTGGACTAAGTAAAGATACCTTTCACAACCGAAATTTATTTTCAAGTTTTCGTAAACTCTTAGTTTACCATTATTTCCGCCTTGTTGAATCTGCTCTTTTCAGTATTTAATAAAATATTCATGTAGTAAATTCTTTAAAGAATGGAAAAAATTTTCTTGTTGGTCTGATGGTATTGTAAAGTCTTTAAAATTATCAACCTTAATATTACATAACTGCAGTAAATATTTTGTGAATAAAACTGGTTGTAAATTGGATTGCATGCATACTCTTGCCGCATCACTAGCAAGGTTATTTGTGAGAGTTGGAGATTTTATGCGACACCAAAATTTTGCTATAAATGTAGCTATTTCGACAATCAGAGGTGTCCGTCCTATCTCACCATATACAGCTAGATTTGTTGATTTTGAATGAACGCCTAGAATTCTTTTACAGAATTTCAAATGGAGCTTTTCTATCTGATTTGTTATTTTAAAAATTTTGGTTTTAAACGTTTCAAAAGAAGTTATTTTGCCTAGCAAAAATGGACCCCAAATCTCACAGCCATACAGCAAAACTGGAATAACCATTGAAGAGAATAGTTTTACAAGTACTTTTTCACATTCGAAAATCTTTTAAATAAACAATGGTAGACACATAATGCTTTATTATATAGCATGTTTTGTGCTTTTTTAAAATTACCAGAAAAGTGGAATGTAATACCCAAGTAACAGTATTCGTCTACTTGTTCTAGGACATTACCTTCAAAATACCAGTTTGAAGATAGATGTAACTGTCTTTTAGTAGTTGTTCCAAAAATTAAAACTTTAGATTTCTTTAAATTAATTTTTAATTTCCATTGTTTTGTGAAAGATTCTAGCTTGGTAAGGCAGTTTTGTAATCCAGTCTTAGATTCGGATAATAAAACCAAATCATCTGCGTAAAGTAAACAGTTTAAATCGGTTTTTCCAAGTTGTACTGGGTCACAAGAGCTGTTAAATAAATCTGGTATCCCGTTTATAAACATATTAAATAAAGTAGGACTTAGATTACAACCTTGTTTTACTCCAACTTGAGATTTAAAAAATGGAGTACAACCTTTGTCCAATTTTACCGACAAATTCACTGAAGAATACATGCTAAACATTATATATAGGCGCATAAATTTCTTACTGCAACCAGAAAGGATAAGTTTGAATAAATAAGCCCTCTCTCCATACACTATCGTAGGCTTTTTTAAAGTCAATAAAACATGTGAAAATCGGTTTGCGTTTTGATTTGTAACAATCTATTATGGTTTTAAGAACGAGCAAGTGGTCAGTTGTTCTACAATTCTTCCGAAAACCAGTCTGACATTTATTCATTATTTTATTCACTTCTAAGAATTTATTCAAACGTGTATTCACAATTAAAGTAAAGAATTTTCCCAAACAGCTACTTATACTTATTCCTCTGTAGTTACTGGGATCCATTGTACTTCCTGATTTATGTATTGGAACAATAAAACCGTGCGACCATTGTGATGGAAAAATACCGTTGGACAAAACAGTATTAAACAATTTTACGAAATAAGATGTCAGAACTTCAACCGCTACCTTAATGATCTCATTGGACAGTGAATCACCTGCACTCGCTTTTTTGTTTTTTAATTTCTTTGATAATTATGTAATTCTTCAGTTGTGATTGGATTATCAAGGGTGTCGTCTTTGCAGGTTGCCCAAGTATCGAAATCCTTCACTATCTGAGCTTCAGTGCTAGACTTTTCGGTATTAAAATTTATTTTGTTCAAGTTTTTATAATAATCAAACCATTCTGATAATGAAATTTCGTTTGACGTACATGATTTACGTGTGTTTATATCATTAACTAATTTCTAGAATTCTTTGGGGTTGTTATCAGATAACATTTCAATTTTATTCAATAAGGAATTATAAAATTGTTTTTTTGTTTCTTAACCATACGTTTATATTCCTTTCTTTTTGCAAAGAATAAATGACGTATAAAAATATTATTAGGATCTTTTGAGAGTAGTTTACCTATATTACTCAAATTCCTTTTTAGAATATGGCAATTTGCGTCATACCATTTTTGCCTTACTTTTGTTTTGTTTTTAATGTTTTTATTGATCGTGTTCTTTTGTTTCTTTGTATTTAATACAGTTGTAGATGTAGTGCGCAATATTTCAGAGAAATTATTTACCAGTGCATCAACATCAGCTGATCTTTCACATGTGGTAGTCTGAGAAAACAAAGAATCTAATCTATTTTGAACATCCTGCGAGTTTATACACTCTCTTAAATAATTTTTCTGATTCTCGTCCCACAAAAAAGACGTAGGATGAGATGTCAATTTTAAATCATTTTGAGATACGTTGGGAGTTTCAATCCTTATTACAAAAGATAAATAAGAATTATGGGAAAATTCAGTGATATCCGCAACTGAAAAACTAACTATTGATGAAAGCAGGTCTTGCGAAACAATGACATAATCAACAACACTTGAGCTCTGCTTTTCGGCCTTTTCCGCCTGATTGAAGTCCATCTGTGGCAGTTGATTCTGTACACATTATCAGGCCGGCGTAGCTCAACTACACGAATTTGTCATTATCCGCGCCCGGTGGGTGAATCTAGTCGTGCGCTTGTTTCATTTAGGATAAAATCTGTTTATTTAAAATTTCTGACAGACGCCAAAGGAACGTCGATGAACGGACAAACATAACTATGTTGATATCTTTTGGGGCGAATAGTTTAAATAAAAAAATGTAAAGAACTCGCGATGATTCGTTGCCAAATTTGTTTAATAGTGCGCCCGTTGAGACAAGGCGCGACAAAAATCAAATAGTACTCACGAGGAACCGAATCCTGCAGTTAATATGGATTAAGAGCTAGTCTCTCTCTCAATATATATCGGCTACCATATAGCGAAAATTTAGAAAGCCGCAGAAGTACTATTACTGATATTTCTTCAGTAATTGGAAAATACTCCAGCTGTGAGAAATTCGACTCTCTCAAAAGCATAATTAAACAAGACGCCGACTCGGCGTTAACCTCGGGTCGGCATGTCCAATATCACGATGGGTCACGGATCGTGAATATAGTTCACGATCCGTAACACATGGTGAAAGTGTGAAACAATCACGATGCAACACAGATCGTGAATATACTTCACGATCCGTAACACATGGTCAAACAATCACTATATGACACAGATCGTAAACGTACCTCACGATCCGTAACACATGGTAAAAAACCTCAAGCTGTGCATGTTTACCTCCAACAATGCAACAAACACTAATCATGCAATTGATGCCCTGGCCACTAAATCCGTACGATCCGTGCACATCGTGCGTATGGTGAAAATAAACAGATATTTTCATCCTTATTACCTCACATACGTTTACATTTTCATATATCAATGTGTTTTGTTATTACTAACTTCTTATATGTTTACATCTTCATATATGAGTGTGTATGCTTCGTTCTCCAAAAGGCGAAAAAGAAATGAACATATATTTTCATTGACTGTTATTACTTATTACCTCATGAGTCATGTATATTAGACATTTTAAATTCTTAATATATAAATGCATGTGTATCCCTCGTTCTCCAAAAACCACAAATTTTCATTGCTATATAGTCCTCATATGTTTATGTCTAGTGCGGTTTGCCTCGCCGCATCGGCATTATACATTTAAATATTAAAGTTCACTCAAGCGGGATTTTAAGTTACGACGCCGAGTATCTGTCATCTAAATAAAGGCGACAGTTCCATTGCCCCTTTTCATTTAAATATTAAAGTTCACTCAAGCGGGATTTTAAGTTACGACGCAGTATCTGTCATTTAAAGGCGACAGTTCCATTGCTCCTTTTCATACTAGAGACGCATTATGCGTCTATGAACTTCGGCAAGCATTTATTAATATAATAAACAGATATTTTCATTCTTATTTAATACTGCACATACGCGTTTACATTTTCTTTTATCAACGTGTTTTGTTATTACAATAGCTCATATATGCTTACTGACATCTTCATATATGAATGTGTATGCTTCGTTCTCCAAGGCGAAAAAGGAATGAACATATATTTTCATTGTTATTACCTCATGTATATTATACATTCTAAATACTTAACATATCAATGCATGTGTATGCCTCGTTCTCCAAAAAAACACGAATAAACACATATTCTCATTGTTATAAAAGAGACTATTTCCAGTCGTTTCTCTCTAATCTTTTCCTTAGAGCAGTTGAGAACGAAGGCCACAAAGTTGTTAATGTTACTCTCATCCCGTGAGTCTATATTCATTCCCATTATCATTCTGCATAAAGTGATATATGTCATTCTGCTATCTAGCGAATGACCAACCGACATTATTTTGAAATTTATATGCACCAGTGCATGGCAGTTAATGTTGCGAACAACCTTTTCACGGCAAATCTTCAAGCCACCCAACGTCTTATTTAACTCACTGCACAGCGCCTTTGAAAAGTGTGAAAAGCGATTGTCAGTGTTTTTTTTAAACGCCGCTCTTCCCCAAGGCGAGGTGGCATTTTAATTCTTAGCCTACTTCCACATAGCCTGCGGTGCAGACGCTTCGTATTTCATGATAAAACGGTTTAAACCCTTTCATCATGAAATACGAAGCATCTGCACCGCACGCTAACTTTCATAAGGCGCAAAACGGTAAAAGTATACGTGTAATTAAATGATGATAAAAATCTGTGGTAATTTTCCCAAACTCAAAATAATATATTTTATTTACAAACATGTAGTTCATAAATAAACAAATAAAATGAAGTGCTATTCACAATGTCAACCGGGTTCAGAATTTTTTCCCACAAATTTATTGCCCTTTACCCGGCCGAAAAAAGGTGTCAATTTACAAATTTGTCAACTGCTGCACAAAATTTGTGCACTTCGCCGGATGCAATTATGCCTAATCTCAATAAAATTAATAGGCAAAACAGTCATCAATCTGGTTCTGTTCACAGTGGGTATATGAAAATTAGCATGTGCCGTTTAGTTCAATATTTAGAAATAAGTTACTAGTCTTGTGAAATCCCGTGAAATAGGATAAAATCTGTTTATTTAAAATTTCTGACAGACGCCAAAGGAACGTCGATGAACGGACAAATATAACTATGTTGATATCTTTTGGGGCGAATAGTTTAAATAAAAAAATGTAAAGAACTCGCGATGATTCGTTGCCAAATTTGTTTAATAGTGCGCCCGTTGAGACAAGGCGCGACAAAAATCAAATAGTACTCACGAGGAACCGAATCCTGCAGTTAATATGGATTAAGAGCTAGTCTCTCTCTCAATATATATCGGCTACCATATAGCGAAAATTTAGAAAGCCGCAGAAGTACTATTACTGATATTTCTTCAGTAATTGGAAAATACTCCAGCTGTGAGAAATTCGACTCTCTCAAAAGCATAATTAAACAAGACGCCGACTCGGCGTTAACCTCGGGTCGGCATACATGTCCAATATCACGATGGGTCACGGATCGTGAATATAGTTCACGATCCGTAACACATGGTGAAAGTGTGAAACAATCACGATGCAACACAGATCGTGAATATACTTCACGATCCGTAACACATGGTCAAACAATCACTATATGACACAGATCGTAAACGTATTTGAATACGAAAGTTAAAGATCTCGAACATGAAAAAGCTAGCTTAACTACGACGTTGAAGATCTTATATATGGATTTTCATCAAGCCCATGAAGCTCGCTTCAAACAACAAGATCCGCCCATTGTAGTTAATAACAATAACCATGCAAATGATAAATCACCGAGTTCAATAGCTGAGAGAGATGTTGGTAATTGCTTAAGTCATACAGCTGATGAAACTATCCTTATTCCCGATGACCAGCCTGATACTGATAACAAAGTCTGCCCAACAGCGCAAAAAAGACCTAAGTCTGGTGAAGTGAAAGCCAAGCCTAAATCTCAGAAAGATAATGAAATAAATCAGGTCGAGCAGCAGTCATCAAAGCAAAATGCAAATGCTCAACACAGCGATAAAAGTCAGTCATCCAAGAAAAAAGTCACTGCCGTACTCGGGGACTCGATTATTAAAAATCTTCAAGGCTGGCGACTTTCAGATGACAATAATCACGTTGTAGTCAAAAGTTTTGCAGGAGCCAACTGTACTGATATGGAAGACTACTTGAAACCTGTAGTTCGAAAAGAACCCGAGAACATAATTCTCCATGTTGGAACAAACGATCTAAATAAAAGTGCCTCGCCAGATCAAATAGCACAGGGAATTATCAACTTGGGAATCCAGATAAATCAGGACTCCCCTCAAACAAGCATTACTATATCAGAAATTTTACCTCGAACGGACAAGTCAAATCTACTAATCAAAGCTAGTCAAGTCAATGACATCGTGAAAAAGTATTGCGACCAAAATAAATGGGGCTATATTAACCATAAAGCCATTAATGCAACCTGTCTGAATTCAAAAGGACTCCACTTGAACAAGAAAGGTACTGCCATTATTGCTAAATCAATCTCTTCTTATATTATTAATCATTGATTAGTAGCGACGGGTATGTCTAACCAAACTTTTTCTAATGTTGATAAAAGCGACTCTAATACGCACAAACAAACTGATTTCAACTTACCTAAACACAGAGATTTCAAAATTGCTTTTCTAAACATTGCAAGTTTACCCAAGCATATCGATGAATTAAGATTAAACATGCAACATCAATATTTAGATATACTGGTCTTAAACGAAACTCGTCTTGATGAAACTATTAGTAATTCTGAAATATCAATTGATAAATATACTTTAGTTAGGAACGATCGAACACGACACGGAGGCGGTGTAGCTATGTATATCCGAAATTCAATTAATTTTAATCTCAGAAATGATCTTCATGATGAAGCCCTTGAGTTTCTGTGCGTTGAGATGAGTAAACCTAAAGTTAAACCATTTCTAATATCAACGTGGTACAGACCTCCTAATTCTTGCAAGGATCTCTTTGACAAACTTCAGGTAATTTTAGATAAAATCGAGTTCCTTGGTATTGAAAATAATATCATTGGTGATTTAAATTGTAACATGAGTGCATCTATTGCAGATAATAATACTAAACATTTACTTGAACTAAGTGAGTCATATCAATATACTCAACTTATTAAGGAGCCAACTAGAGTTACAAATAGCTCATCCACGTTAATCGATCTCTTTCTTACTAATGAACCGAACAACTTTACTTCTGCGGGCGTTATAGTTCTAGGTATCAGCGACCATAATTTAATTTATGCTATCAGAAAACACTCTAGTGTTAAATCTAAGCCTATAACTATCAAATCCCGCAGTTATAAAAAATTTGATGAAACTTCATTCAAGCATGACATTGATGCTATTCCTTGGCAGTACATAGTTTCCTTAGATGATCCTATAAATGCTTGGCAAATTTGGAAAAAACTATTTCTTGATGTTGCTGATAAGCATGCTCCAGTCAAACAAAGAAGAATAAGGAAAAATTGTGCCCCATGGCTCTCTGTAGATATCAAGAAATTAATATGGGAACGAGATCGATTGAAGCGTAAAGCAGTTTATACTAATGATGAAAATAATTGGGTCAATTTCAAAACAGCTAAAAATCTAGTTAACTATAAAATTAGAGATAGTAAAAAGCAATATTATAATTCTCTGTTTCAACTCAACGTAGGTCGAACTAAAGAAACTTGGAATGGTATCAACAGTCTTCTTTCTAAATCTAAAAATTCAACTACTATACCAAAAATCTTGCAAGATGAAATCGAAATTACTGACCCAGTAACTATTAGCAATGTTTTTAATAAGCACTTCACTGAAATCGGACCTAAATTAGCAGCACAAATT